CCAACCACCCTTCCTTCCTTCCTTCCTTCCTTCCTTCCTTCCTTCCTTCCTTCCTTCCTTCCTTCCTTCCTTCCTTCCTTCCTTCCTTCCTTCCTATTGTTTCCATTCCAAAAGTAATGATTTGCTGTAAATGAAGTAGTTTTAAATCTGAATGCTAAGTAAAGATTACCTGCACTAATTTATTAATTAGTACTTTCCTTTAATTGTATCATCTGTTATAGGTGCCAATGTTAATCGGGCTACAGCTAATAACGATCACACAGTGGTGTCACTGGCATGTGCTGGGGGCCATCTTGCTGTTGTTGAGCTACTACTAGCTCATGGTGCCGATCCCACTCATCGTCTTAAGGTACTCAAAGTAATCAGTTTATTATTGGGCTTACATTTTATTAATTATCTAGGCAAATAATCCCAAAACATTCTAATTATAGCACTGATTTGGTAATATAATATTGGAAATCTGATGTCACAGTCCTCAAGACCACTTATTTCATGTTTTCTTCTCAAATTTATATTTCAGGATGGCTCAACTATGCTTATTGAAGCTGCCAAGGGTGGTCACACAAATGTTGTTTCCTACTTACTGGATTACCCAAATAATGTTCTGTCAGTTCCGACTACAGACATGACACAGCTCACACCACCATCTCAGGATCAGTCTCAGGTCAGTTTTTAACTATGTCATTTGAAACCAGCCTTTCACTTTTGCAGGTTGAAATGAATAAAAATATAAGTTTAAGTAAAAATCAGTTAGATAAATTGAATTCAGTTAATTACTGGATAGTTGAAAATATATCTGCAGCTGCTTCTGTCTGTTGACTCCAAAGAGAACAGCCTAGAATTTGAACCAGGGTACTGTATATGCTTCCACATGTTTTCTATTAAAATCTGCATTTTAACTATAGGGAGCCAACATAGAAGTATAAGTAAAAGAGATATATAAATATAAAGAACAATGAATGCAAAAGAATTTATTATAAATCCCCAATTTATCAGATCTCAAATCAAAGTAGACTTTGGATGCAACAGACACAATCCATTTGCTATTTTATGCATGCATAAGACTGTTTTTATGCACATATAGAATCCCGTTTCGATATAATGGACTTTCAAGTAGCAAATGCTCCTTTCCCCATTAGTACACTAAAATGAAGGTTTGTTTTACTGGCAACTGAAGCCTTTGATAATATAACACAAAATGCTTCAACAATATTCTCTCCTATATTAGCTTGTCTTGTTTTATAAAGTAAGTTCAGGTATTGCATTCTGATTGTAGAATATATATCCTAGATGATTACTGTGTAATTTTTAAAAGTTAGCTCTATCACTGTCTAAACTTGGGGTCAAATTTGCCAATTTAGCAACAAATTACATGTATTAATATATAATAAATGTTATAGTGAAAGATATAAAATCCCAAGAAAAAACTGAACACATCCATCCTTTTGAAATCAAAGATGTGTAAAATGTATTGACTTGATCTTTCACAGTGTATTTAGGATTGTGATGGCCCTTTTCATTTCACTTAAATTATGTAACAATTGTTGTTTGCACTCCCCTCTGCCTGGTGGAAGGATAAAGCATTTTAATGCTATTTCATGATTTCCTGCAAAAAGAACCCCCAAAACCCTTTTCTCTCATTAAATTCTGCAGTATGTCAGGCATTGTGTTATAATGTAAGAAATAATGAATGAGAAAAAAATATAGGGGTAATATATAAAAAGACAGAAGAACTTAATTCAAATACAGCAACCCTTACGACAGAAGTGAAGTGATGGGGTGACTTTTCTAATACAGTGCTCCTCTGCTGATAGGAAAGGACTGTGTAGACAGATATTTCTTTTGATAGTAAATGAGTAATAGCGGTATTTACTTCCTTAAAAATTATAATTCAGAATACTGCTAAAAGCTAAACAAAGGGTTACACAAATAATACAAATAAACTTATAGATGTTTAAGGGAGACTAAGACTACTCTAAACATATTGGAATAATGTATAGATTACCATTTAAACCACTGACGTGTGGGTTTTCTCTGAGTTGATTTTACAGGTTCCACGTGTACCAATGCATGCACTTGCCATGGTTGTACCTCCCCAGGAACCTGACAGAGCTCCTCAAGAGAATCCCTCTCCACTTTTGACTCTCCCAAAAGGTTAGTAAATTATCTTTCTTACAGTTTATGACACATTAACATTCTGATTTGGGCATTTAGGGGATGGAGTGTACTTGTATTTGAAGGTATGTTGTACAAGTTTATTGTAATCATTAATAATAGAAAGTATTGAAAACATAATGGCAGGATCCATACATGAAATTGCACTAGCCAGTGAAATTTTAAATCCGCATAGCTAACCCAACCTTTATTTTATAGTCACTGTGCCATATTGTAAATTTCATTTGAAATTCCTTTCTTTCTATAAAGCTTTCTGCTTTGTAAATTAGGTCTGTTATTAAAAATAAAAAATTGTGGCCTATACAGTATATTTCCCTCATGGGCATTGGTAAAATAATCTACATTTCACTACATTGATTTAGATTTCAAAGGATTTACAGGTTTGTTTAAAGAATTTGTTCTAACATTTGTAATAATCAAAATTATGCAATATACATTAAATGAAGTGTAACAGTAAAAAAGTGAAATGAAATCTCAGATCTGACAGGATATGTAAAATCACTTTCCATAAGAGTAAATTAAAACTAGTTTGTTTAATATGAATAAACAGAATGTTATGGGATATGTAGAACATACACATCACTGTCTATGGGTTTAAGACTAAGGACCTAATATTAATAAATAGATGGGATTGAATAATCTGGACATACCTTTAAGCATTTTAAGTAAATCTGTTAATAAAATATGCAAATTGTCAATATATTTATTTATTTTTATTTATAATTAAATTTATAAGCCGCCCATCTCCCCCAAAGGGTAACTCTGGGCGGCTTACAATTAAAAACCAAGACAATAAATAATATATATTATTTAGATTCAGATAATGCTTTTCCTAAATGCAACAAACACTATGTAGGACAGACAGGCAGAAGGCTGGCAAAGCGCATCCATGAATACCAACTAGCAGTCAGAAGACATGATGAAAACTCCTTAATCTCACAGCACATGGACAGACTTAACCATAGTTTTAACTGGGAAACTGTCAGCATTTTAGACCAAGCTAAATCCAAAAATGCAAGGGAATTCT